GTCTATTCAGCTCAGCTCTGCACGTCTTTTTTCTTTTCCACCAAACACTTACAGGGTTGTGTCGTCTCCTCATCTGACTCATTTCATGGTCCTGTTGATGTTCTGCTGCATGTTAGGATGCTAATGACAACTAGACTTATGTTTAGGCTCAGTTTCAGATGAACTGAACACAGCTGGATAAAAGCAGCATCAGTACAGCATTACTGTGATGATCCTCAGTCTGGATCAGGGAAACATCAGTCTGACACAAAGTTTAACATCATTTTACATCACACTGATCCTGAAATACAACTAAACATAGTTTCTGACCTCAGAGACTCCAGTCTGCAAAGGTCACTTCCCAGGAGACCACACAGCTGTTTCACTTCTGAATCCTCTAACTTTTTCCCGCTCAGGTCCAGTTTTCTCAGGTCAGAGGGGCTGGACTTCAGAGCTGAGGCCAGAGGAGCACATCTGATCTCTGACACACAGCAGCGGTTTAATCTGAGGAGAAATGAAAAAGGGACAGTAAATGTTACAGAATATGCTTTGATGTGCTATCAGCAGATTCTAAGTGTGAGCATTTAAGAGTGATCATCTGTGTTTCCTCACATGAACTAAAACATCTGGATGAAGATCCGTCAGTTTAACTGTAAGAAAACATAAAGACCTCCAACAGTTCCATTCAGTAAACTGACCTCAGAGTCTTCAGCTGATAGTCTGGACTCTCCACCAGCTCAGACAGCTGCTTTGTGACTGATTCCTGCAGGTTGTGGTTGTATCTCAGGTCCAGTTCTGTCAGATGGGAGGATTTGGACTTCAGAGCTGAGACCAGAGAAGACCCACTGATGTTGGACAACCCACAGCATTGCAGACTGAATAAAGAGTAAAAAGTGTGAGCTGAAGCCAACAGGATGCAGGTTACAACAGTCAAACAGAACCAGAGAAAAGGAGCTCTCATTCACATTAATGACAACACGCTGCTGCTTCATAAAGACACAGTGACTTCAGCTCTAAACTCTGCCAGCTCCACCAGTGGCTCCATCCACACAAACACATGCTGAGCAGAACAATCATTAGGGGGGGCACTGCCAGCATTTATAAAGTTGATTTTCAAAATCACAAGTGTTTATTCTCCTTTGAAAGTATAGATGACACACCGGGAAGGGCAAGTGACCTGAAACAAGAGGAGGGTTACTTATCAAAATAAAACAGGAAATGACGAGACCACTTGGA